CCTAACAAAAACTTTTTATGTTGTTATTGACCTATGATGCAGACTTATAAAAGAAGATTGCGATGAGAAGTTGTTCTTGCCAGTGGAAATTCTCTGGAGGTTTACAGTCAGTGAACTGTTTGTTGGCCATCCTTTTCACGTATGCGTGACAAAGAACGCTTTGGAAAACCAAAAAGTGTCCGGTTCATTGTCCCCAGGCTCCCTCTTAACCATGAAATATAACAGCAAAGTTCATTAGGATAAATCTGTTTTCAACTTTCTACCAATTTTTATTCTCTGCTAAAAATTTATATTTATAAAACTGGTATTCATTTCAAATTTAAATAGCGCAAATTTTTATTTTTAATGTATTACCTGAAACATTAATTGCACCATAAAGATAATAAAACAAATTGATTTGGAAATAAATTCAGTATCTAAAATTAACCCCAAAAAAAGGAAGAAATAAAATATTTGAAGTATGTAGGCACTAGTTTGAAAGATTTCTTCTATTTAATTTTTAAGAAATTTTTTAAAACGGGCCAGAAAAATGTCAAAAGAAAAAATATAAAGCAAGATAGTGTCCATTCGGAAAATGTTTTGTATTCCGATAGCATCAAATAATCTGCGCGTAAAAAATTATTGTGCATTTTATTGGAATGGAGAAAAATTGCGATTTTTATCCAAAATCGATTCTATTTAACAATAAAAATATAAAGTCTATCGAAAGAACGAATAACAATAAAATCGAGATCGTATTTATTTACGTATTCGTTACGTAATGATAAATCCCAGTTTTACTCCTCCAAATACCGAAATTTATTTTCTAATCCGAATTAAGATTACGTGTAGAATTGACACTAATACTTTTACTAAGTTTTTCGTTCAATATTTGTATAGAAGACATTTTTTCCATAGCTACAATTCTTTTGTGTATATTATTTGTTTGTTTTTCCAAATCTCCTTCTTTATCTGTGTAAGAAACTTTAGTTATGTACAGTACAGTACAGAATCGATATTCGTTATAAGAATACAGCGTTATCGTGCAAAATCCTCGAGACCTGTCAACAAAAACTTTATATTATTCTTTGTAAAAGATATAACTAATTAGAATTCTTTAATTTTTATTTTAATTAACTTGGTATTCTTTTGTTAGAAAAAACTTTGGCATTCTTGTAAAATACAGTAGCAAATTCGGTTTTAGAATTATTTAGTTTGCTTTAATTGTTTTAGAAATAACGATAATTTCCTGATAATTTTAACGATAATTAACTGATAATTTTAATATGTTTACGCGTTACACTAATTAAATATAAATTAGTTTATTATCGTGTGTTATAATTAGCCTATATCTTATTTAGCGCAGCCTTACAGTGATCTAACGTTATCCATATTCATTAGATGCTAAAACTTTGTAGATCCTTCTTTATCTTCAATTTAATTATGTTATCTAAGATTCAAACAGAAATAAACTTTATTAGAAGTGTCACTTTTTCTTATACAGTTGAACCTCCCAACGACGGCCACCTGTATACGGTGGCCATTTTTCAAGAATGTTTCCTTTCGTAAGGCATACAAAATAACCTTCAAACAACGGCGATTTATGTTTCCGTCAGTGGCCGTTGTTCAGAGGTTTGACTGTATTTAAATAAGTTTATTTACAATTTTATGAAAATTTATTTATCAGATTTTACTTTAAATGGAAATTAAGTACAGATTAGAATACTTACGGCGAGGTAATAAATAAGAAAAATGAAAGTAAATCAATTTTTATATGTAGTTTACTATCAATATATATATATGTCGCAGCATAAATCAAAACATTCTCCATTTAAGTGCAAGTTAAATTTTATTTTTTATAATAATCTCTTCCGAAAAATTATGGTTAATTTGTAAAAAATTCATAAGATATCATGTTTGATCCGAATTACTTTCATTAAAAAATATTCGAATTCTCTAAAGTTTTAAAATTAAATTAAATTTTTTAGAAAATGTGTCTCCATATATTTTTCCAGACTGTAATAAAAATCTAATTATTGAAAGTGTCATAAAGCAATTTCACTAAAACTAATTTTCTACAATAAAGTTTGAAGTTTTAGTTCTAAACCGATCTAAATTTTAAGTCTATTTTCAGGAAATAAAATTTTAAAAATATATATTTTTCAGTGTTTTCAGAATGGAAAATGATTTAGAAAGTAATGTAAACGATGATAAATTTAGAAAATTGAATAAAAGGAAATAGAGTACTTCAATAAATTACGCATATAAATCTTGGAAGAGGTAATTAGACCGACTCGAATTACCCTTCCTTGCATCAATTAATGACGTTTGCCACACAACAATAATTACGATGCATTCGATTAAACCTCCATTTGTGCAATGAAGATGGAAACAATAAATAAAATCTCTGCAAAAAGCGGAATTTGACCCAATTCAGAGCACAGACGTACTGTACATAAAAATCTGAGAATTTTCGAATATTTTTAATTCTAGAACAATATCCGGTCATTATACAAAATCGGAAACATCATTGCTTAGCAATTTCGATCAGTTATCTCGGAACCACTTTCTTAAATTAAACAAATCGAATTTAGGATTATAGGTTTAGTCGATTCGTTTGTTTGCATGAATTGCCTTGCTTCTTTAAAGATGTCTTCGAGGACACATTTGTCTTCGAAATGCCATCTTTTCCTATCATTAAACGGGTTTATCGAATTTGACTCTATCCTCTCTGACATCTGGGATTACCAGCAGTTTGTCCACACTTAGAAAAAATGTAAATAATAGTAATCTACTATTATTTACAATTCTACTAGATCATGACAAATCCTTGTGTATAATTTATACTAGTCGACGTATATATACACATGTTATTCGAATGTATGAAATAAACCAAAACTATATCCAGCATATTTAAATTCTAAAACATTTATTATTTTCATATTTTTCTATGGAATTTTCTATTTAATACAAAAAGTTATAATGAAAATAAATACATTTGACTATACTGTAAATAATTATATTAATGCCAACTCTCCATTATCTACTGTCCATTAACTTAATCTATATTACAACTTGTTCTACAGACACACAAATCGATAAATTAAATTTAAAAAAATTCTTTCAAAATGCGAATGCAAGATGTTAATTATGAAACTCTTCAACATCCTATTTAACCCCTTTAATTTTTTACACAGATTTTTATTAAATCAAAGATCAATATCAGTGCTGTCGTTCCGATATTAAACTTGACAATAATGAACTAAGAATAAGAGATTTGTTAGATTGAAGTTAAGGTAATTAAATTGGATACTCTAAACTTCTATTCCATGTTCTGTAGTTTATTTAATATTCTGTTAAGTCTACAAAGAATTAAATCCGTAGAGTACAAAGATCAGGATAAATTAGATTTATTATTATTGTTTTTTAATCAAATACTTTCGTCAACAATTTTATTCATTGATTTAACAGAAGAGGAAATAAAAATAAAAATACAAATTTATAATTACTGTTTATTTCTGTTTTATATAAAACATTTAGTTTCTATTTACAAGTTCATTTTTAGGTGTATGTTTAATGCTTCATTACTTGCTCCTTCAAAAAATTTTAATGATAAAGTATCGTTCATTGTACTTACTTTAGTTTATAAAAAAAAGACATATTTCTTTATCTGCGCCATTTATTTTCTTGCACAGCGTAATGTATTGTTTATAATAAACACAAAATCCCTATTTTCTAACGAATAGAATAAGCGCATTAGGTGGATAAACGTCTGTAGTAACCTATAAAAATTGCTCTGGGCGTCGTGATACACCATAAAAATACTCCACAAACCCTTTCGGTTATGACATAATTTTCTTAGAATATTTGAATATTTATTTATTTTCATTCGTTTTATTATTTTTATATTTTGTATTTATATCTATTCACAAGAACCGAGAGAGAATTTTCTAAACAAAGGTCAGTAACACTCGTCACTTGAAATGTGATGAATCGATTTATTAAGAAAACAGATTTTCGAATTCGTAATTGCGAATTTGGATCACGTAATTATATCGAACTACACCAAAATATCTGGAAACATTCCAATGGTTACCCAGACATTATCGACTGATCTAGCAACCCAAGATGTTCTTCTAAAACAAATGATTATTTATAATATACTTTTTTCGAATAATATTTAATTGGTGCATCTAAATAAAATCAAATCTCTCTTATTTATCTTTGTAGAGACTCTAGTTGAATGGCTAAACACGGCTTAACGTTACACGTTTCACTGATCATTATGCATTTACTAATTAGATAAATCCGAAATAAGAAAAAAACTCTGGTCAGATCATTAGTTTTCGAGGTGTTTAAATGCAAATTTGAGTGTAATGTCTGTATGTCAAATTAACCAAAAATAAAAATTTTCTGCGACGTAAGACGGCATTAATCACACGAAATTAAAATATGACAAAATTTTAAATATCATTAGCCGTCTTAGCTTATCAATCTTCGTTTCGTTTAAGTCGTAAATATTGATTACAATGGAAGGAAACAGGATCTTTTTTAAGTGTCTGTTAGATCGATGAATGAATTTTAATAATCCAAACCACCTTTACATAACACACTTTCCGCTTTTAGTGTAAACTATGTCAAATTCTTCGGTAGCACTATAATAATCCTGTCTTTAAAATATTTATAAATGACTTCTAAACTATTTTAATTATTTTTTTTTTAATTTCAAAAGTAAGTGATCGTCGTCGATAGGAACGAATTTTTTAAATTAAGATCCTAAACTTTTTTAATTAAACAGAAATTTGCATATACTGTATAACATTCGAAAAAACTCCGACGTCACTTTTAATGACGTTCACAAAATAATAATAATTAAAAGTCGCAATGATTATTACGTTCTCCAGTAATGCACTCATTATTCTAATGCATTTTACTAAATAAAAATAATTCGCCATTAAATTAATTTACACATTTTTTTATGTGTGACATAGATTTAGAAAGATATAGAAAAATATACTTACTGCTCTTATGACTGATAAGAGAAGCCGTTCTAGTAGTACTACCCACTAAAGGCAGAGCGCACGCTGCCGAACAGTACAATAATATACCAGTCACTAACATTCTGTAATTACCAATTGTTTCGGAGGATATTCCTAACGAATGTACTCTTATATTCCATTGGTAACGCAACGTTCGAGTGCACAAATCTTCCTCCACCTCACTATAAAGATATCGAGAGCGCACCTCTCGAACCCATTGCCTCTACTCGGCTCTCGGTTAACTTCTACACCGCGCTTTAGTGCCTACAACAGCCGCATGGTGTCTACACTGCAATGCACCGTCCCGTTGTGATTGGAAAACACCACCCCCTAAGCCGCCTGTTACGTAGACTTTACTCGACGGGTAATTGGTCGAGTCCACTCTCTATTTTCTAAACTTATTATTACGTCATTTTGTTTTCTAGTAAAATAAATAAAGCGGTTTATTTTAAAAAGACGCAATAGGAAACTTGAATTAACATACCGCAATTCTAATATAAAATACAGTGGGTAACTGTTACGCGTATGTTATTTATTATATAAAAATCAAATTAATTGAGAAAGGAATATTTAATCTTTTTCTTAGATTTTACGAAAGATCAACATTAAAATGGATTAGATTATTTGTTTATGGCAACGCGATACTACTGGGCGATCTGTCGAGAAAAGATGCCTCCCGGGAGGACTTTCTAAGGGAAATTGACCCTATTTACGAGTTACAATCGCGAGGAAAAGCCGGAAAACTCCACGTGGCCAGCCCGTTGGCGGGGCGCTAACCCACGACAGTGGATAAAACCAGAATTTAATGGTTTTATTCACTCGGCCACTGGTGGGCCTTAAAATGTATTGATGATATTCGAATTAAATACAGACTTTATACTGATTTTTAAAAGAGCCAACTATTTCGAAAACTTACAAAGACACCATCTAATTAACCTAGAAATAAAGTTCAACAACGAAATAAATTATATTTAAATAATTAATTTAATATGTTATGAAAACAATGTAAAAAGCTAAAAGTTTCCTCGTTCCCTTCTTAAAATTACTATTAATAGGTGGAAAAATACTCTTGGAAACATAATCAGGTTAACGTTATACCTCGGAATTTTAACATCTAGATTGCAAGCGCGTTATTTGCAAACAGAATATAAATTAGTTTGGAGAATTTGTAGATTCATTCGATCAAAGAATGCGATTAGAACACGCCAATACGCGGTATTGACCATTTCTAGAAGTAGTAGATTTTAAATAGACCTTAATAAAACATAATGTAAAGTTATATCATCGACATGTAGGCCAATATATATATATATATATATATATATATTTGAATAAAAATAAGGTTTGGATGAATAAGGAAACGTATTAAGTAAGTTTAAATCGATTGGCATTATTTAAGTCCACACAAAGAATTATATAATATCAAAATATTTTATTTCTGATACATTTTTAAACATTGGCTTTTATATAGCGTAGAGTTAAATCTTCTTGGATTTTATGAAGTCGTCGACTCTGTTTCGTGGGTCGACGACGTTAAATATTTTATAAAATTTGGATAGAAGTGACGTAAGATAGAAAAATATATAAATACATCGTGATTAAAATGACGCAAAATATTAAAATTACGAGGAGAAATGTAGAGAATAAAATCGATGAAAAAAATTTCATTTTTAATGACGTCACTTAACTGCAATTAAAATAGAATATTAAAAGCCTTCAGCAGAAAAATTATTAGAAATAAAATGACGTCACAACTCGGTTACTACTTGGAAAATGGACAAAAATGCTAACTCCGTTTCTGCGTAGAATTTTATTGGCACGTTTCTGAATTTACGTTCCTTTTATTACGACTTGATGAAGGCGAATTAAAATCATTACTCGAACGGATCCTGATATGGAGACAATTATATTGTTTAAGTATTCGTGTATACATTAGTGAATACTTATCCAATAAAATTACAGCAAAGGTTATCTGACTCGTTTTTTGTCGATGGCATTTTAGAGAGGAAATCGTTTTAAACATCTCATGCAATTTATATTTTACTCGCTTAAAAGGCTTTGTAATCGAGAGAATAATTAAAAGTTTGGAAACGTTCGTCTATTCGTCGATTTTTTCCTTCGACCTCGTCAATATGAGCATCTCGGATGATACTTTTCCGAGACTTTTCTTAATTCTTCTCTACCTCACACAAAAAATGAAGACGCGAAGATTAAATTAGACCGAATCTCAGTTTTTACTAGGCAAATATTTAGAAAGAGAATTAAGCTCCAGGATCGTTTATTCGTCACTGTTCTTCCTGACAGAAATCATCGTCCTCTCAACAGAGTGTTTGTTTATTTTCGTTTCAAACGTCTAGTGGTGCATCCGACGTTGTTTCGCGCTTGCCGGAAGGAAAATGGTGGAAAAGAGCGCCGCAACGTCTGTCCAAACGTTTTACTCCGGTCTCCTCCTATTTAGCGGGCGTCTAACCGGTTAAAATATTTAGGTCGATTAATTCTAGCCAATTACCACTTTGTTTACATCCCGCGGAAACGCGACCGATTTTAACGGAATGGTGGAGGAAGGAAGATAAAGTTACGGGGCTTTTAATGGAAAACGTACTACAATTTTCCACATAATTACATTCGAATAAATGAAATAAAAATAGTTTTTGAAAGATAGTCGAATGTCATATTATAGAGGAAAATTGGTTTTATTTATTCACAAATGTTCGGATGGAAAATAATAATTAAATGTAATAAAATAAATAAAACGTAATTCAAATAAAAATTAGTGTCTGAAGAAATTGGGAAAGATTTAAACAAGAAGATGCGGACGAACTCTAAACAATAAGACAAGAGAGATAAATATAAAAATAACTGGAATATTTATTAAATAAATAAAGAATAGAAAACCGAAAACATCGGAATATTTTAATGAATGCAAATGAATAATAAAGGCAAATTTTGATTTCAAGTATCTTTCTAAATATTTTCAGATTTTTCCTTTATGTTTAAGTGCTGAAACTTAAAGGTAAAAAAGTGCCTTAAACTACATTTGAAAATGCAATTTGAAATTTAATTATAAAATGATTTTAACATCGAAACAAAATGAATATTTTATTTTTCGAAAATTTTAATATTTATTCAAAGATAAATTTATCTTTTTGAAATTAAAAAACACAAAAGACAAAGCCAAATTATGCTATAATTTCAGTATTATCTCTATTTTTATTATTTTATGTAATACGTAAAAACCATTTTTATCATCAATTTTTAATGAACTATTATCAATTGTTAATAAAAGCTTCGTGTCGACTTTACTAACGAATATTTTATTATTTTATTTTATTTGGTACTAAGCTCAATTTAACATAATTATCCGCTTTAATATTGCAGATTTTATCATTGTAGGATATTTTAAATTTATTAAAATAGACAATAATTGTATTTATTCAGTTTAATTCAAAATAAGGGAAAACATTATTTCCCAACAAAAGGCAAAGGGTATTGCGTTGAACCCATAAAATGAAGGTTTAAATCCACGCGTCAGTTTTTAAAAAAAGAATTTGTCTTAAAAATCGTCAGTTTTCCAAATTTCGTTGAAAATTTAGTAAAAATACTGTGAAGACCACTATTCCCCCCACCAAAATTTGTTGTTACTATATATATATATATATGTGTGTGTGTATATATTTGTGAATTTGTTATTTACGTATTTACATTATCTGTAATAATCTTAGTTTAGCCACTTTGTTGTCACTTTAATTAATTAGTTAGAGATTTTATTGTATTTAAACATTTTATTTATTTTATATCCTTTTTCTTTTGAACCCACATCTTGAAGATAACGAGACTGTTTATACATGGAGCAAAGTGTAAGAGAAATTTGCTTATTTTTCCGATTCTAGGGACTTCCCTAATGATTTAGAGAAACAATTTAGAATATTAATTAACGGCAATAAATCTCACAACATGCGAGGAAAAGGATGAGAGGACAATTAAATAATTAAATAAATTTGTAAGTGAATAAAACTTAAAGAAAGTGGAAAAACACCACTTCATGCACCCCTCGCCGATCATAGCAGAGATCGAACATCGTTTCAAGGCACAACAGTAACCAAAACAATCGATGAATAATGATGGGATTTGTCAGTGAAAACAGTTTTGCTTATGTAATGACTCAGCTCAAAAGTCAAACCAAATACGATAGTAAGCCATATCCTAACTCTCCTGCACTGAAAAGCGTATAAAAGAGGCACAAATCCAGACACAGACAGAGCTCCTTGGTAGACAACGGTAGAAAATACCGGCCTCTCCAGACTCTTCATAAGCGATTCTATTGTCCTGGTATTGGTTTGACTTTTGAGCTGAGTCATTACATAAGCAAAACTGTTTTCACTGACAAATCCCATCATTATTCATCGATTGTTTTGGTTACTGTTGTGCCTTGAAACGATGTTCGTTCTCTTTTTCCTGGTATGTTGTAGTTCGGATACCCCCTCCCTGTTAGGCAGCCCTCTCATTTTATAGATAGAAATAGGCAGATTTCTTGAATCGGATTTTAAGAATGTTATGAACTTAATTTTTGATAATAAACTCATGTTATTTATATTTGACTTTGCATTCATCCTCCTGAGAGGCTCATTCCCGGAAGGTAAGAGTCATTCATTCAGAGTGACTCTTACCCTCGCGCCTTAACTATCGGGTTTTGACTGAATCGGCGGTGTGTCCGACAAAAAACACCTGGTGGCAGGACCCTACCCTAATCTAACATAAACTAACTTTTGACGGCCCCTAGTCCCCACAATACATTTAAAATATCTTAACACTTTCCTGTGGAATGTCGAAAATAAATTTAAAAGTACGTCAATCTTAGAAATTCACTCTTTACAGGCCACAAAAATAACGAGCATTCCAGCTAGATCAATTTTTTTCCCATTTAAATTTTTGACTCTCCGTTCTGTAGGCAATAAGATAGCCTTTTTTGATGCACAACATGGGTTCGGAATGGTCTACAGTGGGAGTCCGGATGGTGAGAATCAGAGATCAAAATACAGGGACAGACCAACTTAAAAAATTCTTGGGGTTGCTCGTCCTGATTCGATTCCTCACAGCAGTAGGCCGGTCCTTAATTAACTGCTTCGACCATCCGGCCACATTTCAGTTAGATCAAAAGATTAGGAACGTTCTGGACGACTTCTTCGCATACCTTCTAAACACGTAATAGTAACATTTGTATTTAAATAAATCGCACCCAATCGAAATAAATCCATAAATTGTTTACTCAACAAAGAAAAT